AGGAGGTTCGTAATAAATAATATTGACAACATGATTTAGTCTGGTTACTTCTCTCCTGGCAGAAGTGATACTCCTGCTTTTTATTTACACATAACAATATAACTGACAGGGTATTTCCATGTCTGAACAATGTCTGAAACGGTACTTCTGTTTCCTTAGTTCCTGGTTATAACAGATTGATTTGTTTTATAGGCCTTATCAACCCTTTTCAGGTTATTTAAAGACAGAAACCCTTTTAAATTGTAAGAATGTTCTTTTTTTTGTTTTAGAGTTAATAATTGTTTAGGAATACAAGTCCTACTAATTAATTCATAGCTGGGTGGGGGGAAGAGGTGGATTCATACCATTCCCAAGGTAATATGGGAACTGGTGTTTCAATGTAATGTCGCTATAAGCACAAAGAAAATGTGACATAACCATCTGAAGGGGGCATTGGAATAGCGAAAGTGTCTTCCGAAAGCTGAGCAGAGTATTAAGAAACAGGAAAATTTCATTAGAGACAAAGAAATGAATGCTGAACTGTTATGTAATATGAATTAACCTATATGAAAGTGAATGGTGGAAAATTTAAAAAAAAAACTTGAAGCAACAGAAATGTGGTTCTATAGTTTTAAATTTGTAATGATATTGTGTCAACTGATGAAAAGTCATGACTTAATATCTCATATTTCTTTTTATTCACTTCTGTCTTCATCAGTTAATGTCAGCCAGTGGGTGTGAGCAGTTTGGGCTTCTCATCTGAAATATGGACCTTGCATTTTTGTTTGCAATATCTGAGAAAAACTACCCCTGCTCCCTCTTGGGGCAGTGCTTATATAATAACCAGCAATAATGTAAATGGTTCCATGATAGATATATTTTAATTTCTAAAAGAGAATAATGCAGCCTGTAGAATTTCTCTGATCACAAGTTTTATAATTAATAAATAGAATCCATTTACTACCAGGGGAATAATATGGGGTATAATTTATCCTGAGATTGTCTAAAGGAAATTCTTGTAAACAGGTGTGTCAAGATACAAGTCATAGCAACAGTTTAACCTATTTCAAACATGATCTCTCTCTCTCTCTCTCTCTATATATATATATATATATATATATATATATATAAAAATAATACCAAATCCATAGGTGGTAGGGATTGTTCCAATGAGGTCTTTTTAATATAAAAATATTAAAAAGTGAACTCCATGATGAGGGATCCATGTATAGATTTATCAACAGGGAAATATAAATAAATGCATAATAAGGAATAGACTTAATTAGTCATTACATAATCAGTTATAAATTTATTTCAACAGTCATACACACACACAAATATATATATATATATATATATATATATATATATATATATAAAAAATAATTAGGAGGATTTGAAATAATTATAATTAGGTAATTCATCGAGTCTAGAAGAAACCTCAACAGAATACAGGTAGCATTGGACAGCCATTTTGTCCTATATTTGGGACTCATCAGCAGTGCGCATCCACTACCGAGAACTAAAACCCGAACAGCTACGATAGGAGGCAAATGCCATACCAACTGTACCAATGGTTCTCAGTGACAAAGAGGTAATGAATAAGACTCAATATAGCGATCATAAATCCAGTGCTTTCTGCATTCTGTTGAGGTTTCTTCTAGAGTCGATGAATTACTTAATTATGATATATATATATATATATATGACTGCTGAAATAAATTTATAATGAGTATATGATGACTAATTAAGTTTTTACCTTATTATTTTTTTCATATATATATATATATATATATATATATATATATATATATATATATATATATTTTTATTAAATAGTGGGTATTTCATCTAGCAGCCATATTCCAGAAGTCTTTGAAAAGAAGAATGTGTTCTTGTTTTACTAAGATTTCTTGAATATACAGGCCAATAGACCTTAATACAAACTGCTTAATAAATAAAAATGGGCATCTTTTTTCAAATATGGAGTATCCACTACAATAAGATTTGAAGTAATAAAAATACCAGATTAAAAATACAACCATTAATTATTTACACACACACAGACATATATATATATATATATATATATATATATATATATATATATATATATATATATATATATATATATATATATATATATATATATATATATATATATATATATATATATATATATATATATATATATATATATTGTGTATTTGGACATCAGTCCCTCCTTTATACAAGTTTCATCAAAATGACTGACAAAGTTCTGTGGTTTTTTATTCAATTTTCTTTTGGCTATTCTTTTAGCCATTATCTAGGACAATTTTACGGTTACTTTTAGCCAATACCAACACTGAACATACAGATGAAAACAATCTCTAAAAAACAAATGCACAGTACCTATAAGAAGGATGAATCTTCTCTTAGAGACATTATAACAAAATATACAACTCCAATCAATGAAAAACAAGAAAATTAAAAAACTTAACCACCGTACATTGCCATTTGTTTTTAACAAAATTTGTATATTTATATATATATATATATGCACACAAATTTCATTATATATATAGGGTGACCCAAAAAACGGGAACTGTTTAACAATCTAATAAAACCAAGAGTGATGGAAGAAAAATATTTTATTCATAGTAATTGAAACCTTAAAACATGCCATTTAAGAAACAATGATGGAATTTTCATTTTTTAAAAATTACGTCCTGTAAATGGCATCCTCCTGTACGAATGCATTCTTGAAATCTGCCGTTGAGATTCCTCATTGGCTACTGCAACATCTCAGCTGGGATACTGTAAATTTCATCTTGAATTCTAAATGGTGAAATGTTTACTTGCTCAAGATCACTGTCTCACAGTGTTGCCACTTGCTCATGTCTGGCAATACGCGCTTCAAAAATTCCCATTTTTTTGGGTCACCCTGTGTATATATATATATATATATATATATTATGTATAGATATATATATATAATAAAACTTGTGTGTGTGTATATATATATATATATATATATATGAGATATATTTTATACTGGGATTGTCTAAAGGAAAGTATTGTAAACTTGTATGTCATGATACAAACAGTTTTACCTACACAATGTTTATCTTGTAGAGTTACCCCACTTGCTTTCCTAAAAAAACACTGCTAGGGGACACTCCCTAAGCCTATAAATAGGCAGTGACAGTCTCTGTCATCCTCTTCTTCCTATTTCACTCAGAGACAGTAAGATGTAGGTCAAACAATGAAAATGCTTTTCCCAACTGGGAAATGCACGTGTGTGCATACACATTTCACTTCATTTTTTTCTTTCTCTGACACCAAACTTTTGTTAATACATACTTATTGTTTGCTCAAAGAGAAAAAATTTTTTGGATATCTGCTGGTTGAAGTAAAGTCAGGCATAATTGTGTCAAGGAGAAAGAAAGGGTCAAGCAAAATGCAGTAGAGAATGAGATGCATGTTATTTTACTGTTGACTGTACCATCGTAGTAGTAATTGCAATGGTTATTAGGAATTTTTGGGAGTTACTTGAGTTGCAAAAAAAATATTTGTTGACTTGGGGAACATCTTGTTCAGAATGTAGTGTTGATGTGTTTTAGAGTTTTGAAATTTGCAATTTTGCTCTTTACATGAGGTCTAATTGCAAATTTTGTCACTGTAAGTTATTTTTTGCTGGGAGTTTTTTATGTCCATATACATGGAATGGTAAGTAGAAGTTGGTCAAAGATTTTCTTCACTGGCTCTCAGTTTGAAAAAAATGTTTTTAAATGATGCATAGATTTGTTTATATAGTTTTGTGTATTTCTTGTACCCAGGAGAAAAATATCACACTGGGAACACAAATCTGTTGTTGGTCATGTTTAAATTTGAAAATACATGTCTCCTGGTATATTTATCCCACAATAAAAATAGCGGACTGGAAATAAAATGACAAAATAACAACAAAACTATATATATAAACAAATAATAAGTATGTATTAACAAAACAAGGGTATACATAAACAATAGAATATTTTTGTGTGTTATAAAACAATGAATATGAATGATGAAAATATTTAAACTAGTGAAATGTTTGTGCAGTTTGGCGTAGGAGAAAGTCCTAGAAAAAAATGAAGCAAAATGTGTATACTTGTGTGCATTTTCCTTGTTCAACTTATATCTTACCATTTCTGAGTGAAGTAGGAAAAAGAGGATGACAGAGAATGTCACTGCCTATTCATATGCTTAGGGAGCATCCCCTAGCAGTGTTTTTTTCAGGAAAGGAAGTGGGTTAGCTCCACAATGTTAAGTTGAACATTATATAGAAATAATACCAACAAAGATGATAATGTTAGTCCCAATCAACTAAGAAAGGACAATTAGTCTAAATACTTTGCAGAATTATTCTTATGGCTTCTATAAATATATGTCTGATATCTCAATGTTACTTTATTTTAATTGCATTTTTTAAATAAATCTGAAGAATAAGTGAAAGAGAGATCTTTAAGACTTAATTATTACCATCAAGAAGGCCAACTAAAATTGTTAAGATCTTTTGGAATGGAGGCAATTTGATATACGAGTAGTGTGGAACATTTAAGTTGTTGGGAAGGTGTTGGGATAGGAGAGTAAAATTGTCAGACTAAATTACTTTTGAAAGCCAAGCACTACTGACTTCTGTTACTTGCAACTTTTGTTGGTTATTTAGAAAAAAGGAACTCATTCAATTTACTTATGAGAAGAAAGCCAATTCAAAATGTAGTAGTGCTTGCCTTTCAAATGTAGACCAATTTGTTATTTGCTTGCTCAATCTGGTAACACTATACAATTATTATTTATTAAGTTAAAGATATAGAAAATTAGTAGATGGTAATTTTAATGTCATAGAATCTTTGATATCTAAAAATTCTGATTCAGAGATGATCACAAATGAATATGTTTATCAGGTGGACAAAGAGACTTAACAGGCTGAACATTTGTGGAGTGGATCTGTGGAGTAAATAGAATAACAGGAGAGGTAATGGAAGAATTGAAAG